GTCTGTAATAATTGGAGGTTTTCAAGTTACGTCAAGATAAACCGCAACTTCCGTGGCTTTTGGAATATGAAGTGAATCTCTTCTGATGGGCCACAAACTAATAATTATGTAAAACTAAAAATACTTAGCTCAAAAGTCAGAAGCATCCGAAAAACGCCCCAAACCATCACCGCAACCTATACCAACTTACCAACTTTGACTATGGATAGGATTACTTCACGACTTTCCCCGCCGAATAATTTATTTCGTACTTTGAACAAATGTATCAATATCTTAACACTTAGGGTCTAATCTCTAGAGAATCAGGGAAGGTTTAACCCGGATAGATTGTTTACGAACCGATCATAGCGGCCATCAATCAGGCCCACGTGACGTCACAGCCGACCTTACGCTAAATTACAAGGGAAGCAGCCATTAATATATTCTATTGGGTATAAATTACTTGATGAATGAACCAAGAACCTGTAGACAATAACCTATCATCAGTTAGTTGTGAATCTAGAATTACCTACATATATCAATTTTTGTGATAGATACTCACAACCTCAATAGTTGAAGTCACTGAACAGTTTTTTCTGTACTGCGGTTGGGACTGGTCGCGTTTCAAACATGTTGAACACTGTTTCCTATAAAAATGTAAACTCATGCATTTTATGAATGTTGAAAAGTTCAAATATCATTTTCAGAATATCTTATTTAGCTCCCTACACAGGAATTGAATCTGTGTCGTTTTTACCACTCGGAAGAGGGTAGGCGGAATTACGTAATAAACTTACTTTACGTTCGTCCTTATTACCATGTTATAGTGTTGTAAGTCCAATGCAATAAGCCAAGTTTATAACTCTTTCATAAATTGTTAAACCCTTCTTATGCTCGTACCTACAATGTGGTTTATTAAAAAACGAAAATCTTGCCTACCTTAATTTACGAGTACTTTAATCAGTAAACTATTGACATCTATAGTAAACATAAACCATTGACATCTATAGGTGTATGAAGTCATTTATTAAAAATGAAACTTCCGATAAAACGAATTAATCAATTGAAATTTTCGTAGGTAATTATTTCTTAGTCCCCGGAGGAATAACACCCACTTTTCGGACTGTTCTATTAGTGATACAAAAACTGAATTGACTGCACGGTTGAAAGAAAGTAGGTAAAAAAAAATTCACGCTAAAAAACAAGTGGCATGTACACAAAGCACCGCTAATTAGTTTGCAGCGCTACACATCGACACTACTGTCATTTACACAGTGTACATGTGTGGGTAATTTCATATTACTGTGTATAAAAAAAATATTCGTCCACCACGTTCACATTGGTATTTTCATTCTTGTGTCGGTATACGTATTTTTATAATTTAATGCATAGGTAAGGTTAAAACTATTTACAATCATTGATATGACCCGACATTTTTACTGTCATTATCGTAGTGCTCGTGGTCGATTGGTTAATGAGCACGCTTTTATCGTCTTTCAAGGATCAATGATGTGGGTTCTATTCCAGCTAAAAGTTTATTTTATATTACCTTGTTATTTTTCTTAATTTTTTTTTTGTTTTTTGTCATAAAATATAAATATCAGGCTATAAAAGAAGCAAATGAGTCGGTAAATAAAACAATACTATTTTTTATTACAATTAATTTATTTATTATACAAATATGTTGTTTTATATTCAATATTTATATTTAATAATTAATTATATACCACATGTTAAGTTTAAAGTTCTTTAAATCACTATTTTATTTATTTAATTAATTTTAATTACATTAAAATATAAATAAAAGATATTATAGGTATAAATAAATCTAAAGTATTACTATTAAAATTAACATAAGATTTAGAACAATAGGATAGGAAAAAAAAGAAAAGATTTAATTGTTTCTAACTTCAATTTCAAATTTCAAATATTTGATAAATTAATACTAAAACAACATGTGAATGCTGGAATCGATCCGGCGGCACTTTACTTGACAATTGGAGGCGATAACCATTGCGCCAAGCGCGCTGTAGATGAAATCATCGAAATATTGTATATCATTCAGTAACATAAAATTACAATGAGAAAGCACTATATTTATATGGGTATTGTATAGCTCGATCATTCATTATTTTTGATTTCGATTTATTCAAAGTTTATTATGAGTAATTTTATCTTTACCCTCGTTTTTATTTAAACTTATTGACTAAATTATTACGTATACCGACACAAAAATGATATTTAAATACCAAGATGTGTGTGATAGACGAATGTTTCTATACATATCTATTGATATGAAATTACCCACACATGTATATTGTGTAAATGATAGTTGTGTCGATGTGTAGCACCACGAACTAATTAGCGGTGCTTTGTGTACCTACAGATGTGTCCTTCTATTAGTATGTACTGATGAATACATGTTCATGTCCTAAGTCCGCCCGTGAAATGAGACCAGTTCAGCATGTGCAAGACAGGACCTTGCGCTGGTATTCTACTCGCCCCTTAAGAGTCCCGCGGACGAACAAGCCTCCAATTAGACATCGGCGGTTGGTGCGGTAGCTGGACAACCGGCACGATTTCCACACGGAGCAACTCTTTGTGTGATCCACAAATTGTTGTTTCGGGTCTGGGTGTCATGTGTAAGTGAACTTGTATGTTTCCAGAAAATCCTAGTGTCCAAATAAAAAAAATATCCCAACATTACTTTTCGCTCACAATTCTAAACCAATATCGTTATTCAGCGAAATGAGGTACGTAAATACTTATTATTTTCGAAACAAGCCACCCTTATAAGGGACACGAATTATAAGTCACCCTATAAATATAGCTAGGCTATTTATCGGCTCGGCTCCACTTCCAGCCTTCGGTTACGTGAGGCGAGTACGGCAATGATGTTTTTCACAATGATTGGCAGTAATTGACAGTGTTGCCGTGCCATGAATTTAAAATGGCTGCAAGAAATGTACCAACTATATTTTACCGTCAATCTAACAAACTGACGAGTTAATCTATGAAGGTTTATGTTTGGTATTTGTTATTTTTAACGGAGATATTACTGTTTGTAGAAATTGTTTAGTTGTTTAAGTTTTGTTAAGAAAATCTGCTCAGTCTAAAGAAGGGCTTTTGGATTGTTGAGGTTGAAATAGAGTGATAGTATCACTCAAAAGCTGCGAATTATTAAGTAAAACAAATGCCCTTTTCAATCCTGTTATGATGCCCCAATGAGGGCTGAGTCTATGGTCATTGGTACATTGAGAATGTCTACAGAAAATTTTAGAAAATCGAAAACAGAAAGCTTGATCCGCCAAGCTGCCTCATGCCTATTCATTCATTCCCTAGTGATCATTTACTAATAGTTATAAGTAAAATAGCCATTCAATCAATAGCTACACCACATAATACTTTCGTATGCGGCAAATTCTATTACTTTAGTTCACGCACATTTAGACTTTCACTCAGCATCTGTCAGCGTGTCAGTCGCAGACTATGTTTTCCCAAAGTTTCAATCAAAACGAACAAATAGCTTTTCCCGAATATCGTTAGCGGAAACATTTCTTAAATTTACCTAGTCAGTATTAACAGATAATCCTATTTTTATGTTTGTATACTGCGATAGCATAAATTAAGGACAATCCATATCGAGTCGATTGAGAGACTACATAATTATTTAACAGAAACTGAGCAGCAGCCTTCTCTAGTTCATCTGATCCTTTTAAACTGCAACCTCTGACCCGTTTGAACAGAGTGGAGATAGACTGTTAATGGTATTATCCTATGCTCCATATATTACATATCAAAGTCAATTATCTATCGCAATTTATATTTGCCTCAATTGAAGACCATGACATTTGCAGCCAATAGCCATTGCTTACTGTAATTAAATTTGAGCAATGTCAGTACTTTGCTACAGATAACAACAGTTTTAATAAGTTACCTGCAACGGTAACCGATAACAATCTCCAATATGACCGGTAAACCATAGAAAACCTGTCGTAACTTCAAAGTTCCATAACGTTTATAACCACTAATGACTGGTTGTACGGACAGTGACCACACAACTGGCAATTTTGTATAATTATGTCGGTACCAACATAGTTACAACGGTGACTATAAATTTACATTTTATGGCTTCACTATCTATTGCCCGCGGTTTTATACGCAGGTAAAATGGGAAAGATTTGAAATGTCAATGCAGTTTTAAAATGATTACAGTCACGCCATCTATTATCTTTTAGGAAAATTACAAGTGTTGTGCATTGCTGCAATTTGAATTTTATCATTTTTGAGAATGAAATATTTTTTAAACGTTTCTAAGATCTCCACATACATTCCAACACACACCTACGTTCCAATTATTTATTGTACTTAATCACATTGTTCGGGGTTCAATCTCTTCATTCCAATGTGATTCGCACACAAACACCCATACCTACTAAGGTATTTGCTTGTAATTTTAATGGACAGCTTAGTTATCAAGTATGAACTATAAACACTGACAGAGAAACGATTGAAATTGCTGTCCTAAGTAAATTCGTTTGGCCGGAGGTGGTTCAATCTCCTGAATGTTTATCGAAGTTCTAACAGCTTAATTAGTTCATTTCGGCGTGACGGACCACTCAATATTAATCGTAGGCCAAGTAAATATAGGTTATTAACTGCGATTACAGAAATCCCCAGATTTTATTGTTTTTGGAATGAGAGGTGAACAAGTACCACCACGAACGAATCACCTGATGGTAAGCGATCAGAGCCGCCCATATGCTCACCATCCTGCTGTATTTATTGAATTAGGTACGGAACTGATTGATTTATTTTTAATCAGATAAGTCTTGACTATTGTAACGTTTATTAGGTATCTACGTTTTAGCCCACAAAAGATTTTACCATTGCAGTCGGATCTTCACTGTTTCTTCCGGAACAATTTTGGTACTCTAGGTAAACAAGGTTTATGATACCTGCTATAGGTAACAACAATAATCATCATGAAAATCTAACAAATAACCTTCTCCTGATTTCAGACTGATGCGGGATGAGGAATGCAACCTACTGCAGAATTTATCTAGAGAGGAGTTCCGGGAGTTCCGTACCCTGGTCATCGACATGGTCCTGGCGACGGACATGTCGTTCCATTTCCAACAACTGAAGAACATGAGGTCGCTGCTCTCGCTCGCTGAGCCCACCGTTGACAAGTCCAAGGCTGCCTCCCTTATTCTACACTGCTGTGATATTTCACACCCAGCGAAGGTGAGATGTGACATTAACTTTCATTCATACTTCATGCTAAAATAGTCTACGATCTATTAGGCAGGTGGGTATTTATTTGGATCTGTAAATCGAATCTCAGACTAACTACTTGCTCGGCTGATTTGTTTGTAACACTAGGTTTTCAAAACTGAAATCTAATTATGTTTCGCATTCCCAATAAGATCATAGACTATACTAGGTAGGTACGTATGTGCTACTCAAAAATTGATTTCTATGAAAAGATTTAAACATATTCAAACAATTATGTTTCAGAGATGGGACCTGCATCACAGGTGGACAATGAGTCTCCTGGACGAGTTCTTCCTGCAGGGAGACAAGGAGCGGGATCTGGGGCTCCCGTTCAGCCCACTTTGTGACAGGAACAACACGCTCGTGGCGGAGTCGCAGATCGGTTTCATCGAGTTTATCGTCGAGCCCAGCATGGGCGTCTGTGCCGATATGCTTGAGTGCATATTGGGCCCTCTACATTCCAGCAGCAAGAACTCCACCAGTTCTGCTGAACCTATCAATGAAGAGAGCACAGGTACGAAAGATAGTAAGTATTCTCAAAGTTCTACGAACTAGCATTTTTTACCATTTGACCTTCTCGTAAAAATATCCTAGAAAAAGAATCATGAACACAAACTTATTAACATTAACTCATAATAATATCGTTTTTCAGGAAATGAAAATAGCAGCAAGTTCAAGATCAGGAAGCCATGGGTCGCGTGCCTCAGCGATAACAAAAAGATATGGAAGGAGCAAGCTGCTAAAGGTAAAATACACCACTAACAAAACTAGTTTACATTGATAAAGTCGTAAATTACACTTTTAACTGAATATGATAAATATTTTCAGATGCTGAGGCACGCGCTAAACAGGAGGAGGAGAACAACAGTGTCCCACCGACAACAGAGGAATAATATTTAGCCTCATTTGTAAATAGCGTTAGATCTAGTTGTTGCAACATGTTCTATTCGTTGTTAAAGAAAAGCTAAAGCATACTGTAAAATATACATACGTGTGCCGGCTATATTATACGTTGCTAATTTATTAAAATATAAATTGTTGTGTGTAACGCACAAATATACGACTTGGAAGCACAATGCGAAAAGCCTGGATGTATAAAGTTTCTCTATGTGGAAGACAACATAGTGAGCTAATTCGAACAGGCGACATACCGCGCAGCGGTAACGCCAGTAGTGTAAATGATTCATTATTATTATTCGCCGCTAAGATTCTAGCCTAGCCTAATATTAAGTCTAATAAAGCTTTGAAAATGTCTTGTTATCAAGATTCTATTGCGGGAAAATAGGACTTTATCTATCTAATTAATTAAAATTGTATGGTCCCAGGATGTTGCCCTGAGGAATCCCTTGAACTTCTACCTCGTAATAGAATCTTGTCTGTATATTTGAGGATGTATCGATAGGTAACAATATTTTCTACTCATAATTGAAATAATTATTGTGTAAAACTGTACTGAACTCATTTCAAATATAGTTGTTAAGAGCTAAATGTATCTGTAAGTAACTATCAAATGCTGGTGACGGAGCAAACAACATTAATTTATGTAATCATAAACACATGTGCACTTCTCTTCAATCAAACACTTAACTATAACTTAAATGTAGCTTAATATTAGTGTTAAATTTAACCCATAATATGATGAATACGCTTATTAATTTTAATGTTTCCGATTAAATTGGAGTCTTGATATTCTTGACCAAATGTTATTTAATATGAAATTATTTTCTAAATGATAATGCCATTTCAAATTCTAGTAATAGGTAGATAGTACATTAGTAAATCTTCATGAATACAAATTAAGATTTTTGTCTTTGTTATATACAACATAGCTAAGTGTAATGTAGAAAATCTCAAATATTTATTGAATTTCAAAGCTCGTGCTCAAAACAGATGGAGACGAACTGCTTTCTGTGAACAACAACTACCTATTAGATCTATTAGACTGAAAGGCAAAGGCGTCACAGCCCTAGGAAGAACAGGAATACTTAGGTAGGCTAAGACTCGGTCTTATTGCAGGCTCTTGTGGAGGACCCAGAGTATATGTACCGTCCTTCAACTAGAATATCTTCTGACGAAAGAAGTTGAACATTGAATTTATTATTATCAAAGATATTAAAACATTTCAGGCCAAGTGTTTACTCGCCGATGCCAAATTTACAACCGACATTGGTACTGATAAACTGAAAATAGGTACATAAACATTTTTCTACTGTTACCATAAAAATGTACGAGTACTCAGCAACATTTCAAACATATATCAGAGGCCTAGTTTCCTGGTAGGTACGTGGGACCATTCTCATTGAATATCAAATCAAATGAATCCATAATCATGATAAATTAGGTCCCTAGGTGTATGATTTCAGGGATGGTAAGGCTAAATATTTAATCCAACTGGTGACGCTTATCGTAGACAAATTTAACAATAGATTTTTTTATATGTATATGTATATTTATCATCTATTTTAATGATTATTAGAGATTTATTAAATTCTGTATATTGTGCATTTAGTGTACCTATTAATAGTTCATATAGGTACTAATTATTAAGAATAGTCAATATAGAAACATACATACTTAATTTGAAAATGTAGTCTAGTAATGCCATTCAGATTGGGGATATAGCTTTATAAAATTGTAGATTTTAGCATACTGAGCCTTATGTAAATGAATATTAATTGTTGTTTCTGTAATATATAGCTTGGAGCATACGGCCCACTCTTGATTAATGTAATCTCTCTCAGACTTTAGGAACCACTTTTTGTACAATACTATTGCTTTTAAATGTGACATTACAACATTCCGAATGTGTTTAGTATTCAATTGTCAATGTAATTAAGCTATTTAAAGACCTATACACTGCTATGTTTTAAGATAGTGAGGAATAAAGAATATTAACTAAATAGTTACCTACCTACAGTCGTAATATATTTTTCACACAATGTCCTAATGTGCTTTCACATAAAATAGTAATGATAAACTTTGAAGTCATTGAAAGTATGCATAAGTATCCATTCATAGTTATATAAATACTATACCTATTACATGTGTAAAGAGATGTTATTTACTAAAAGTATCGACGTAAAATTCCTTACATTTTCTATTATTGTATCCCACACAGTAAAGCAAGTAATAGTATATTTAGATGCAACCGCTGAAGATGAATTTTCTATTATGTATTGTAAGTATGCAAATGTACCTATTTATTAAATGTTTTATCTTAAAAATCACAATAATTTTATGTAAACAACAACACAGATCTTTGTATGAAATTGCATTTTCTCTCTAATAAAATGAAATCTCAAAATCAAATGGTTTTTTATCAACTCGATGGTCTTTTTCTACATGTGTAAATATATTTGTTCACCTTTTAGTTACATGTAAATTATATGTAAAATAAAATAAAGATTTTCGTAGACGAAATGTTTACTTTAATACCCTTAGATAGTTTACAACATGAGACATGAGAAATGCATGTTCTTATATTTCTAAGAAATAGAAAAATATAAAAGTTGAAGCAGTGAAGATCTTAATTTATTCTTAACATACTTATTGTAGTAGTTTAGCACAATAAAGAAATCATAGCAGATTATTTTAATAATTGCAACAGCAGTGCAAATCCTTTATGTTGTCGATTTTATGAACAGCATAATTATTGCAAAAATATAGACTTAAAAACAAAATTACTTATCATACATTCAAAACCCTTTCAGGATATTCTGATTATAGACTATTTAGCAGCTACAATACAAGATTTAGCATTCATATTAGCAGCTTATAAAAATATTGCTATTTTTAATTAAAAATAAAGTATTGATTATAATGATGACATGATTTCTGTAAGATGTCTGATATAATCTATGTAAATGACATAAAATGATGAACACACTGCCTCGCTGGTGAGTATCTCAGTTTCCTAAAAGTAGATGATTATAAAAAAAATACATTTATCAACTATCCTGCTATATTCAATACTATCTCTTAGCCATATATGAACATTATACTTAACACTACAGCTGTATTACATAGCAAATCATATTTGCAATTTAACAATTATAAAAGGCACATTAAGCTAATATTTTATACTTTGACACGAAATGTAATATTAAAAAAAGTATCACAACTGATTCAACTAAGGATGTATTTATGAGTCTTGCCAAATATAATAAGCTGAATGGACAAGCCTCGGACATCTGATTTCTGTCTATTACAAATTATTGTTCCCTCAATCACATCTCCTTGCTTGACCTCTTTGCAATCTTTCAAGTAAAAAACAGTTTGTTTCCAATGTGTTGGTGTCTTGTGTGGACCAGTTGAGAAGTCTATTGCATTTGGCAGATCAAAGAATGTGTCAAAGTAACCAACAATAGAGGTCAAAATACCATCCTTCACAATAGGCAGTTTAAATTCCGATGTGAAGTCCATGACATCAATTTTGCATGTGTTTATATCAATGTCTTTGACAACACAGGGCTCAGATATTATGAATTTTGATCCAACAACATCAATACTTGCTTCCCTCACAACTTCAGACTTCATGCAATTCATTTTATATCCGTAGACATCAGACCAGTAGTCTATAAGTTTCTTATGTGTATCTATGTCGCCGTTAGCAACAAGACTAATATTGCACCTATTGGGTAGCAGGAGACCACCAGGTTTTAGACAATGATCCCTTGCATATATCACACTATCTAACATGCCTTCAAACAGCAAAAAGTATCCCATCCACTCGGAAACTATAATATCAACCTTTTCATTTAATTTAGTATCCTCCAGTCTTCCTTTAACTAATTTTATAACATCTTGCAAGTTGTTTTCCCTCACTATGTCCATTGCATGGTATATTATTTCAGATTGATCTAGCGCATACACCGTCTTAGCTCCAGCTGAAGCACAGAACATTGATAAGATACCGGTACCACAACCCAGATCTAGAACGACTTTGTCTTTCAATGTTTCCTTATTATTCAGTATTGCATCTATAAGTTTCGGTTCGCACTTTGTCTGAGCATGTCATAATGGATACCAAAATGAGCATAAGTACTAAAGTAGCCATCATCAATCTCTAAAGGAACACTTGCAACACAGTTTGCTTCAGTCGGCACTTCAATATTATTCTTATTGCCACCTTCAACTAGAGTTTGCATTGAATCTTGCATCTTCTTAATATCCTCCTTTGCATTATTCAGAAGTGTTGAACTCTCTGCTAGTTGTTGTGTTAGCAACTGTATGGTTCTTTGAAGCTCACTGAAATGTGCCTCGGATAAAGTTACTAAACCATTCTCTACATTAGCATGGTAAGTTTTTGGAGAACTTGGTTTGTCAGTGAGGGCATCGAAGTCGTACATGAGCCACTCATCTTGCTCCACAGGTTTATAATACTTGTCGTCGTCCCACAGCACCCGGTTTATGTTCGTTATAACCTCTGGAGTGGGTTTGTGTGTTCGAATATAATTAATCAGTTTAATGTATGAATAGCAATCCATATTGAACTTCAGTTTCAATTCGTTCAAATCAAACTTGTGAACAGACTTGCAATGAGTGATTCCTTCCTCAATATTCGATAAAACGTTCGGACAAAATAAGCATGTTACCGTGGTGTCGTTAGTTTCCATTTCTTGCCATTCATCGTCTTCAAAATTATCCTCATCACTGCTGAGATCTGGTACGTCCGACATCGTTTACGTATATTGGTAATATGATAATAAATTCGGTGTAAAAGTAGTGTTTTCACAATTCAATAACTATAGATCCGCAAAATATGAACATGTGAGATTGAACTGTCAAAAATTCGACATTGATTTTCGTTTGACACTTGACGTTTCATTACATTCGACATTGGGTCAGTCGTTCAGAATTTGAAATGTGTAAAATGTTTTACTATCGTATTATACACCATATTTAGTCAAGTAATTTCAATTAAGAAATAAGTAATTATTACGCAATTTACGGTATCATGGTTAGTATTCGTTGTATCTACTAATATTTAACAATTTATTTGTTTCTAAACGTACGTCGTACATGACAAGTACTGGCAGGTTTTCCGTAAAAAATGAAGTGTAGCCATTTGCTAATCAAAAAAATAATATTGATTTCCTTTTAATCGTGGAAGATAGCATTTTTGTGTGTTCAGACAACTATATATATGTTACACTTAACTTAATTTTGTTATTTACTAAAAATAATAAACTTAAATAAAATAAATACTAACTATTACTATTATTATAAATGTTACATATATATTTAAAGAAAATAAAATTGTTATGGAGGGAATAAAACTGTTACCCTAAAATTATCATTTATTGTGCTTCAATCTATTTTAGTATTTTATATCCTTACTTTTTTTATTTTTAGGTTTGTAAAGTTGCAACCCTTTGTCTTTTTCACCAACATGATTTTAACACTTGCAACCCAATCTGTCAATACGTAAAGTTGATCAGCGCGAAGTTTGTTTTGCAATCTGTTGTCATGGTAGCAAAAACAAGAATAAATTCATAACAAACGTATAAAATAAACATAAATGTAAATTGAATAATCATGAAATTAAAAATATCAACTCTTAAGGAACCAAAACATAACGGTGTGGTTGTTTGTGTTAATTGGAATAATACTGAAGATGTATTTTCTTGTGGGTAAGTTCAATGACCGAAATGGGGATGGAGTAAGGGTGAACATGGGATGACGCTGCCGGTTCTAGCCACCAATGTCGAACTACGAACTAAACTGAACTTAGGAGTTAAATTAGTATATTTGTTATCCACATAAACTAAACTCTTAAAAAAAATATCTTTAGCGCGTTATTATCGTTGTGTAGGTACTTACTTATATAATATGTAGCTGGAGATTTTTAATTTGGTAGGTTTAGGTAGGCTTCACCTAACCCAGGGTTTATTTTGATGATATACCATCCTAACAAAATAAGTAGGTCTGTAAATTATACCGCTAACCGAACGTCATTAATTTCCATGTTCCTAAGCGATAAAATTGAATTGAGACTCGGTTGCTAATCAAGGACAGAAACTAAAAAAGATATATAATATAACATCACGCCTTTTTTATCCCCGAAGAGGTAGGCAAAGGTGCACATTACTACGCTTAATGCCACTGTACAATGTAACACCCACTTTTCACTATTTATGTTATGAATCCCATGTAATAGGTGGTGAGCCTATTGCCATATACCGGGCACAATTCCAGACTCCGTGCGACTACTAAGATTTTTTTTAAGCCCAGTAATATTTTGCCCGACGCATTACGACCATTCAGCCAACGAGGCAGTAAAAAAACATCATTTTTAAAACATTTACTTCCAGAGATGATCATAAGCTTCTAAAATGGAACCTAGTGAATAGCGAATGTATTGTGGTGACAACGTTTCCTGATGACTTCTTCCCAAATGACATGCACTTATTTCCAAAAATCAGTGTTGGCGGGAATAAGCACCAACACGATGTGATCCTGATTTCTACTGCAGATGGCAAGTAAGTGCAAAAGAATGACAAGATTTTTTATCCTGGAACAACATTTTCGACTGTCGGAAATGATAGGATCTATGTATAGAAATGTATAGGATTCAAACCTCGGGTCGCTTAAAATATTCTGCTTGAACGTTTTGATTTCGTTGGTTCAGTTTACTAACTACGAAGTTTACTATTTTTTACATTCCTTTAACATTATCAATAGGTTTCTTCGAATAAGTATCCACTGAAGATTGGTCTAGGTTGTAGGTATGTACATACATCATACATACCTACAATCTAGATCTCTTTTCCGGTGCGGAAAATAAGATGAGTGTGATATATTAGGTACGTCGGATTGTACTCCTCCTAACTCTACAAATCATGACTTATGAGAGAATGACTTTGATAGGTAATTTCATTCTTACCAAGTTCCCATTATCTATTTGTAGGTTTCACATTGTTAACCACAACGGTCGTATCGAGAAATCGGTGAATGCACATCAAGGAGCTTGCCTCATAGCACAATGGAGTCCTGATGGAGCTGGACTGTTGACAGGTAGAAACACTCAACTTTATCTTACTATCATCAATTATGAATGGATCATCCTTCATCAATCCATAATAGAACAACAGACAATAATTTTAAAGCACAATTTCCGAAAATCCCTTATCTTTGAACTTTTGTTAAGGTATTTTATGGTTTTAGCTGGAGAAGACGGCTTCGTAAAAGTCTGGTCTCGCAATGGTCTTCTACGGTCTACCATAGTTCAGTCAGACGTGCCTTGCTTCAGCGCCGTCTGGAGTCCAGACAGCAGTGCCATCTTGCATACGAAGGGGAATTCACTGGTTATAAAGCAACTGAATTCTAGCAACAAGATCACTAAGGTACGGTATTTAACCGTATATTATTTTTCTTTGTTAAGACAATCTCCTAATAGTGGGTACGAGAACCTAACGGGTTACCGGGGCTCCGGCTCGAAATGCAGGAGCGGGAGCAGGAAAAAGAAACAGGGTGGTTTTTAGTCAGTAACAGTCTGACACTCCCTCCCGCCTCATCTAGGCGGGAGCAGTAATGCAATGATTTTCCCCCCTTAAAAAAAAATGGTGGGTACGGGTTTTGATTCTTGCTACATTCGATCGTCCTGTATCAAATAATATCTCAAGCAAATCTTCACAAACATTGAAAAGGCCGTTTAACTACCAATAATCAAATTATTACGCTGGCTTATCCAAAGATTAGTGTTGGCAACGCATTAATCAGATGGATCCATGCAATTTCATGACGCATTTACCTTTACCTTTTTTCAGTGGAAAGCTCACGAAGGTCTCATTCTATGTGTAGCATGGAATGCTAATAACAATTTAATCCTATCTGGTTCTGAAGATGGGTATTCTAAGGTAAGTACTCAAGAAAAAAATACCCTACTATCTATTACGTTATAGGTCACAGAGTAACTTTAATTCAATATCTGGGTCTCCGTCAGATTTGGGATACATTTGGTCAGCAAATTTCGGTGAGCGTTAAACATGACCAGCCAATCACGAGTGTCAGTTGGTCTCCAGCTGGTGACATGTTCGTGCTGGGTAGTTACAACCTTATTCGTCTTTGTAACTCTAATGGGGTAAGTTTGGCATACATGTTTCAATCATTCTGAATACACTCTTTTCGAATGGTCTACCTTAAAACCATCAGCATTTCGTTACTGTCCTGGCCCGCTGGCCGTATCGTTTATACGTTTATGATTAGAGTTGAAGTATGTTTATGAATCGTTTTCCTAATTCAATCTTAACCGGACCCATTTGGGATTTAATTATTCGCCAATAATTGTTTCCTTAATTTTAGTGGTCTCATTGCCTCGACCGACCGACGACGGGCAGCATATACAACATCGCCTGGTCTTCTGATGGGACCCAACTAGCCGCAGCATGTGCTAACGGACATGTTTTATTCGCTCATATCATTGATCGGTAAAGACCAACCCTCTGTGACTTCACCAATTAAAAATGAACCGTTTCTCACTTTACATAATGTTCTAATTCATTTTGCAGAGAATACACATGGAAGAATTACGCTTGTAACCAGATAGGCCGGAAAGTAATCGCCATCCGAGATATTATGACTGATCAAAATGATCAACTGGATTATCCGGACAGAGTAATTCAAATAGCTCTGGGCTTCAACCATCTGGTTACAGCGACGGTAAAGCAATGTTTCATACATAAGCTGACTTCCTGGAACACGCCAGTGACGTTTGATCTTAAAGAAGGAACTATCAGTATGATATTGCTGGCTGAAAGGTAATTTGGCTTTGGAATTTATGCCCTATTTGTAGGATCGCATTAAATCCATTATTCAGTGATGGCCCCAATGTGTTTTCTGCTTTTCAGATGCCTCTGTATTGTAGAAAGAGCTGGTCTCTCGGTATATAGCTACATGGGTCGTCTTCTTGCTAGCCCTCGTTGGGGAGCCAGACCTGAAACTTTAGGCCGTGCTGCTGTGTCCTTGGGACCCGATGCACTGGCTGCTATCGATCAGGGGGATAGAAAACGTAAGTATTGTTCTAGAATAGTTACAGTAATATGTTTTAACCAATCTTTATAATGGCTGAATAGCTGACTTATTCTACGATTGATCGCAAGAGTAACTCCCGAGTTAAGGGCCCTCTCTTTTAAACGGTACGAATATTGGATTTGTCTCAGTCGCGAAACCTATAACGTAATTGTCGATGGCTATAAGTAATGTCATATTAATAAGCATATCGTCTGGTAACTTGTGATTTACTTCAATTTATTCACAAGACTATCCATACGTAATAAACAACACATTGTCCCACTTTTTGTTCCATCGACAGTGATCCACGTCTTCGATCTTCCCACCGGTTTGATCGTCCGAAGCTCGGCGGACAACACAGTGACAAAACTGTCTCACAAGATGACAGTGTCCAACATAGCTCTCAGTCAGACAGGACCCATCAATGAACGACAACTTGCCTTGTTAGATTATAACAGGGATCTATACGTCGTGACTTTCAAGGATAGCAAGCCCAAGTTTGTTAAATTAGGTAAGTAGTGGTACTAAGTAGATTAAGTTCAATTTATATGGATGTTATGGCTAACAACTATTACAGTCTTGGTCCGAATACGATATAAAGACCTTTAATTCCGAAATTTTTATTTTGCGTGTTGTAATTGAACTTTATGATGAAAATAATGTAGTTTCATTTATGTAAAAGTAGAAGTTGGACTGAGCCCGTAATTTGGGCTCCGGAGCTGATGAGCGTGAGATTTTGTCTAAAGGTACTGTGATCCTCCCAGGCTTGGGAGTCGAGTGGCTATGATTGAGTGGGCAACGACTACTTAGGTACCTATGTAGTTCAGTGAAAATTAAGGTGATAATCCAGAATCTTACAATTTTAAGCACATAAAACTTTTTATTAAAAAATGTATGTCCGTTTCTGATGGAATATTTCTTGTTGATTAGCATCTAACAATATCGATTTAGTTCTTCTAGAACCCTCATTAGCAAGGTATTGATTATAATGATTTTAAAGGTCAAGTTCACTTGTACCACTATTTATAATGTTGACTTAACCAAGGCAGGGAATTACGTTTAACATAATAATATCGCTCAAAAACCGGATCGGACATCGATTTATTTTGGTAACAAACACATAGGTACAGCTTGGAAAATACATTTATGTACAAAAAATCCCAGTTAAAAAATATTTTTCTTTAATTTTGACTTGTAGTGGATTTGAAACACGTTTGTTGCATATATTATGCAGTTGATAAAATATGACTGGGATTCCCGGTAGTAGTTTCTATCTTGCTAGGTACGTAAACACGTGATTTCTCTCTTTAGGTTGGGTCGGGCACCCATACTCCTCATCTACCGTGTCACAAGAAAACCTTTATTTCTATATTTATTATTTATAATTCTTTATTTATAATCAGTGGTGTGCACAGGTTTTCGATAAAGGGTAGGCAACTAAATATTGTATGATTTACCCCCCCCCCCCCATCCCGGTCATACAATCATACTCACACAAGACTTACATGTACATAATACATTACAAAAAGTCTGTTCAAGAATATTGTGGTTTATTCTTTCGCCAAATTACATACACTGACATCTCGCGTATTTTTTGTGAAGTACTTCATCAATTATCGAATAAGCCAACTTACAAATAATTAAGCATCAATTTATTATACCTACTAATAATGAAGCATAAATTTGATGAACCAAATTCAATTATCGAATTGTTAAGTTTGATCAATCGATTCAAAATCATAATATAGTTATTACGAATTTAAGAACAGAGTAGGCACCTACATTATGTCAACAAACAAAACAATAACAAGCGCGGCCGGCTGTGGCCGAGGCGAGTAATAAGCGGTACATTTGTTATTACATAATTATTAATAATAAATTTATGTATATGTAAATCAGTACAACCCGCAATTGATATTTTTTTAGAATTATCAAACAATAAACAACAATAAAAGTTTTGCAAGGAACGACACGACAAATGCGACAGATACGACCGACACGACAAATACGACCGACACGACAAATACGACCGATACGACAAATACGACCGACACGATAGATACGACAGATACGACATATACGACCAACACGACAAATACGACCGTCACGACAAATGCGACAGATACGACAGATACGACAAACGACAAACACGACCGACACGACAGATACGACCGACACGACCGATGCGGTCGAAACGACCGACACGACAAAGGCGACCGACACGACAAATGCGACAATTACGACAAATGCGACAATTACGTCAAATACGACAATTACGCCAAATACGACTGACACGACAAATGCGATAAATACAAGTGAGTGAGTGTTTTATTGATTTTTAACACGTATTTATTTTATAGAATTCTTGATAAAATACGATCGTGTTCCGAGTGATGAACGCCGGGAAAGCAGCGTGGAATCGTGTAATAAATTTTTGCGTTTATGAATGGTTATTCTGTGCCGTGACCATAGTCACGTGACCTTCACGCATGCGCGTTGCATACTTTTGTGCCGTCACAACAGGCAACCGAAGATGTGCCGTGTGACCGAAGTGCGGCGCGCGTTCATTGCTTTACAAAAGCGTGCGGTCCGTGTATGTATAGTATATGTGAATGTATATTTATGTTAGCCGTTTTTTACAAACTTTTATTATATTATTGAATCTTAATAAACGCGTTTGTACATTTTATGTATGTTATTTATTCACGATATTTGTAAGGTAGACAAAACCTTTTTGCCTATATGGCCTGCACGCCACTGATTATAATATATTATACTTTATTAAAACCAACCAACAAACCACTTACCTACATGTAAAACCTATGAAATCATTAGGTAATGAGGTCATTTTTCGTCTATTATCAGGGTCACAGATCCTAAGCATCTGCTGGAGCTACGAGACAGAACTGTTAGTTGGCTTGCGAGCCAGTTCCGTGGTAGCCTGGTGCTGTCCCCGAGCGGCCATGCAGCCAGACTGGCTTGCTCTTACCACTGTCAGTAAGGATGTCGTGTGAGTAAGGTTACCTATCTCCTACTAAGACCGCTAGCTCATAGCTCAGAGAACCGACGGCTACTGGGGCAGGAAGGTTCTTGAATGGGGACCAAGTAAGGGGGATGAACAACCTAATTTAGGTCAAGAGCCGCTGAATGTAGGTCGCTGCCAACTTATCAGAAAGTGATTAGGAGTAGGCTATGTTCAGCAGTAAACTTCTTATAATAAGACCATTTCATTGTGCCCAGTTAGGTATAACAATTAAATACTGATTTATCTATCATCTTTTATCTAGTACCTACATAAATATGACATAAAATTGTTAATATTTTAGCGACCTTGGCAGAAATCCGACGATTCTAAGTGTTGAAGATGGGGTCGCGCATATTTGCAGAGGCAATGGTTCAATACTGCATCTGTCTATTGCCGCGTTCCCTGAAAAGTTACTAAAACACGTAGTTGCCAACATGTGGCAGGCTGCTCTACAGGTAAGGCTAGTAAAATTACTCTTGTAGATATAAACTTGGGTGGACCATGCTTCGACACAAATGGGCCGGCTCGACCAGAGTGATGTTACGGCTTCACAGAGAACTGACGTAAAATAACGCTTGCGTTATGGGTAGAGGTATTAGCATTATAAGGAATTCGATTCTTGACGTTCGATGTGCATACTAGAAATATTGAATCAAAGCAATAATAGTGACCTACATAATTATTCTGCTTATTGTGATACCTCGTTATAAATAATGGAAATACAAACTTAGTTGTTTCAAAGATGAATTTAAACCCGAGTAAGCTGGCTTCCTGTAATTCACCATTAAAGAGCAGCCGTAATTCTGACTTCTCGAAAGAAGCTGTGTCGACGCCCGATATTCAAAATTGGATGTCAAACATTGAAGACCTGTTACATGAAGTTTGCACTATTGCCACAGAGGGCAAACTTAATTCGGAACAAAAACTTAAGATATCGGAAGGTAGATAGTCTACTTAAGGAAGATAGCCGAACACAGATATATTAATTCCATTGATTATGAAGGCGCATAAAGTGACATACGCACAAAGTAGAAATACCAATTCGATTAGTCATTACGTTTAGTTTAGTTCACTTGTACAATTGCATATTAACAGGTTGGCTTACTCAGCAATTTTTTCCTGACCAAGCACATTTGATCTAATGTAACAACAAGTGAGTGACCGTATGGACTCTGACCTAGTTTTTTGTGTTTCTGCAGACAATGCAAAATAATTGGTAGCATAGTAACATGTAATACTATCTAGTTTATATATGAATATAGCTTACGATATTTATTTAATTTTATATTCATGTATTATATAGTTATATGTATGTTCAACTTTTTATTCTCCTTCAGGGAATAAAAAGCGTGATGTTATTATATGTAGGTATGTATGTATGTATGTAGTGTAGTATATTAAATAATCCAACCGTACTTCTGCAAATTGTTTTAATATTTTAAATATACTATAAATAAGTTATCTTACATTAACATATTTTTAGAGCTATTTTCGCCTGTGACACAGGAATGTTCCTAGTATAGGCATAATATTTTTAAGATCTTGTCGCTTAATTAAGATATATTTTTATACCTATGTTGACCAGTGTTACTATGAATAAAATTTTTATTTATTACTAGCTAGCTACCCGCGGCTTCGCTCGCGTCACAAAAGAATAAAAAGTAGCCTTTGTGACATATACCAATACACACAGCGCCATCTATACCAATACTTTTGTTTTTCGGGAATATCAATTTTTCCGGGTTAAAAATTACCCTATTATTTTATCCAGACTTCTAACTTTAAGTCTGCAAAAATTCAAAGCAATCGGTTGAGTACTTACGGCGTGAAGGTGGAACAAACAAACAAACTCACTTTCAGATTTATAATATTATATATAGTAAGGATTTATTATATACCCAATCCACATATATTTAACCCCCACATATATTTCATTGCGAGTGTTCATGGACGCGCCACCGTTTACTTACGTAACATTACGTTGAAAGTCTCCTCGTAGTTTCTCTATTACATTCTGATTTTAATTAGCTAGGCTTAAAGTTTAATGAATTAAGAATTCATTGTCTCCTACAGTAATTCATCGAGGGAAGTGGAAACTATCTTTTTTTTATTATATCTTTCGATTTATTCGTTGTGGGAACCAAGACAGTTATTCATGTCCCTGGTACGCGCCAGACTTCATTGTTACGGTGTTTTCATAGTTCTATCTACTGTAGATCCTGGCTTACAGGAATTGCAACGGTTTTGGGAGATTGTAGCAGGGTTGTCGCAAAAAAAGCTACATACTTGTCCAGAGAGTGTTCAGATTACCAAATGAGTACCTAAGCCTAAACCCAAACTAAACAAACTTTTTAGAAGCTTTATAATTTTTACTTTTACTCAGCTGTGTCGCACCGTCGAAGATGAAACCCTCTGGGCTTGTCTAGCTGTGCTAGCGTGGCAACACCATCAACTGCCGGTAGCTGAAGAAGCATTCGCCTTGATACGGCAATACCATCAAGTCTGTTATATTCAGCATCTTAGAGTAAGTACTTCTACTGGTTAAGGAAGACAAATATGGCAATTTAGAAATATAAAGGATTTTATATCCTATGAGAACCTAACGGGTAACCGGGGCTCCGGCTCGACGTGCAGGAGAAGGAACGGGATGGTTTTTAGTCAGTAAGAGTCTGACACTCCCTTCCGCCTCACCCAGGCGGGAGCTGTCATTCGATGATTTTTTCCCCCTTAAAAAAAACACTAGCTTCTGCCCACGGTTTCGCCCGCGTTTCCGTGGATCAAAAGTAGTCTATGTGTTATTCTAGACCATAATCTATCACTGTTCTAAATTTCATCCCGATCTCGGTGCTTACTCTTGAAACCGATCTCAATGTCAATGCAATTTCAATCCAATAAAATCTCAATAATGATTCAATGTCAACACTATACAACCCCTACCGTAGCTGTCGAAATAGCACTCAGAGTACGGAATATAAAGCCAAACAAAATACCATTTAGTTTATTTAATATCCACGCGATACGGATGCAATGGGCGCTAGTGTACTCGAGAGTACGAAATTTTACAATACCAATGTCGATCGATCGGACTTGGATTCAAGAGTAAGCTCTCTCATCATCCGTTTTCACGTGATTAAGTAACAAACATACACACAAACAAACAAGATAGTAAGATTATTTTCTGAATGGTTTCGATCTATTCTGTGAACATTTTATTTTTTATTTTTCAGAGTAACATTCCTGAAAAGCTGACAGCTAATTAGTTCATAATTTGATTGTTATAATAAATACCTTACTATCTAAATAAAAATACCTGTTAACTATTATATTATGTGAAACAAAATCTAATTTAGTTATTTTAAAGAAAGTTCCTTTCTTGTTGGGGATTTGTTTATCGTTGAATACTTAATACCTTCCTACCTATTTATTGTTGCTGTGGGTTAACCTAGTTACCTAAATATTATATTTAGGTCATTATTCAGTACTTAGGTACCTATTAAAATACACTAAGTAATTCTTAATTTCACGACCTTTGTTAAAGATGTCCTGTACGTAGTTTTACTCATTAGGTACCTACCTACGTAGGTACAGTTTATCTAATTTATTGGTGATAATTTGTCCAAGATCAAAATGTACATCGAAATGCATATCTACATTTTGTTGTTTTGTGGTAATAAAATTTATTAAATATCGAAGTATTTTTATTTTCAGATCCATATTACCTAAATCGTCCTAATACTAATACGTATTAATCCGGAATCCGGATACCTACCTTGAAGTTATGCATCTAGGTAAAAATACGAATTTAGTCGACCAAGCTCTACTTAACAAAATATCCTCATAACATTGAATACCTACCTTTATTTATTTATCATTTATTTAATAAAAAGAAGACTATAATTTAATTTAAAAACCAAAATTACATAGTTTTATATCGTAAGTTAAGTTGAATAACAACCGGTTGTTCATTCGTTCGTACGATAACTTCATTCAATCATTCACCGTCTTCCGCCATTCTCGTTCATTACCATTCAGTTTTTCTGTCAACGCTATTCTAAGTGGACGTGTTGAATGTCCGCGCATCGGCGTAATTAACTTCGATACAAAAATATTTATTCGGTAGCAAAATCATAAATAAAACGTTTTGTAAAACTAAAAGTTACTTTAGTTTGCTGTCGCCATTGTGTGTAATATCGCTTTCTACGCCAGCAATGCGTACAGCGCGGTGTCCTACATTAAAAACATAGGTTACCGAAAGAAAGTTTTAAGTTTATTTTTTTGTGTGTAATGTGAAAATGTTGAAGATGGGTGTTTTAAAGGTGGAAATAGTGTTGTTACTGAACTTGTTGTTAGTAAGCGGAGACGTGTATAATAACGAAGTGAGTGAACATTCTCTGGAGTTGACTCAGTCCTTGAACTTGGCGCGACAAGAGTTGATTCAAGAGACGTGCCGACATTTCCCTCCGAAGTACGGTTTGGATGAGCTTCCACCGAGCCAACTGGAGCATATCTTAATAAACGAAGAACACAAACTTCTGTACTGCTATGTGCCAAAGGTGAGTTTTTCAAGGCAAACTGGATATTTATAGCTTTACAAAATATTCGTCAACTTAGGTAAGTAGGTACCTACCTACTTGTCTAATGTTAAACAATAACATTTTCATTATATAATTCGTAAATAATTTTTTAGTTAAATTCATTAGCAGCTCTGTCATTTAAATACATCTAAGCATCTCTCAGGATATTTTTGATTTAGCTAAATCTAGCCTAAATCTACCTACTGAAACCATTGCCGGTTTTTAAGTAGGGATAAGCAGGTAGGTCCCAATTATGTAGGTACCTATTCAAAAAAGAAATAAGATTCACTTTATCAGGTAACTTCTTTACCTGTCCCTACCTTCTCAACTTCATCAACTTTTAGACAACTAAGTAGTGATTTTATACCAATATCTTTTTATAAAATTTTAAAATTGAATGTACCTATGATGATAAGTAAATTCGGCCAGTACTTATAACTGCACCACCAGAATCTCTGATACCCATATAATAATCAATAATTCTTTGTAGGTGGCCTGCACCAACTGGAAGAGAATCTTCATGATGCTATCAGGCAAATGGAATGGCACAGATGTGTTGTCCATCACAGCCAGTATAGCTCATACTCCTGGATTGTTCCGGGATTTAAGCAATGTAAGCAAAGCAGAGAGAGATTATATGCTAGAGAATTACAACAAGATGATCATAGTAAGGAATCCATTTGAAAGGCTGCTGTCAGCATTTAGAAATAAATTGGAAGGTGACACATTGAGTGCCAGATACTTTCAGGTGAGTTTCATAATTATATTGATCCTGTTTTTTTTAACTAACTAGGTAGGTAATTGATTCTTCAGTAAGTTATAGAGTATTTAGTAGTAGCCATCCTTTTTTTGAACACCTAGGTAGCTTTAATTTAGATAAATAAATAGTTATTAAACTAGACCTACCTGCCTACCTACCTACTTACTTTTGTGTAAGCAGTACTATAAAATGGGGTGAATAGAATTCGAGGGGTGAGTAGATACCGGCATACAGGAATGGGATGGATAAGTGTTAGACTATTTTCCCAACATTTATTTACCCATCACCCCTCTTCTGTAGATTCAGAAGATAAGATATAAGATATTCACCATGTTTTACTGTAACTAAGTTCATCATTTCAAAGATTTCAAACTTGATGGTTATTTCTCTAACTGCCATTTTTATGAATACCAGTTTTTATTATTGTTATTATGACACTACAAACTGCAAGATGTGTTAAAAAGATCTAGTTTAGTACAAACTTTCTACCGTTTACTTAATTCCACATTTTTTATCATTTCTGTGGGTAAGTGTATGCTTTCTCTTCTTTATGAATCTTGCACACTGACATTGAACATTATTAAATAAATTAAAATTATAATAGGTAACTATAAATCCTTATCAATTATTATCATGTTAAAACACGCAATAACTCTGATATCATATTGCTTAAGTGTACAAATTATGTAGTCTACTGACACATTATAGGTATTTTGATAAATTTAACAGGTTGCTTATAATTTGGACGATTTATTTGTGACTCTGAATACAGTGATGCATGTATTTAGAGTAGTTAAATGCGTATACAGACCTACCTACATATTTTCGGTAATTTACGCCTTCGTCCTGTGAGAGTAGTGGAAACTACAGAGCGCCATCTATCGTTAACTAGGTACCTATCGCATTCATGCATCTAGCCATAAATAAATGTCGAATTTGTGGGCTTATATCTAATGAAAGTTTATTTTTTATATGTTTGGCACATTGTATTATTCTCGACTGTTCGTAATGCTTCTGTGGCTAAAATGGCCTATGACGAAGTGATATACGTAACTGTGTCCCATGATCACTTGGGATGAATGATTCTTGATCTTAGGTCCATTTTAATGCTAAATACCTAATTACTTAATAATGACCAGTCTATAACAATAATTATGTCAGATTAAAAAGCAAGCGCAGATCGTTAGTCCTAGATCCTAGTTAATCTAGTCAAATATAATGTCAACTCCTAAATTGCTTAATTAATATAAAAAAATCTACCAATTATAACTTGTTGGACTGTCTGACGTAATATAGTTTTTGTTGCAGATTCCAAATTAAAACTCGTTTTGGATTGACTTTTTGCTCATCCTATCCTGTTCTAACAAACAAAGCAAGTTAGGAACAGGTGTGGTTCATATTAATAACTTTACGACCAGTTTTAATAAGCTTTTGTAAATTTGATAATGATAAGGATAGGTCTTTGACATAAATTCCACTGCAGATCCTCTGCAATTTGCCAGAAAACAGTTCCAAGATTTAGATAAGGGTAAATCTGCATTTTAAAATCAACGTAGTGCATCTTGAACAGGAACTAAATTTCCATAACCTGTATGTTAAGAATTTTACTCGTTATTAAAATATTTGAATGACGTCACGACGAAACCTAGTCTCACACCTGTTTTCGTACATTTCGTACATGTTTCTTTCTCATGTCTTTATGTGTAGGAGAGCCATGCTTCAGCATTGAGCTGGCCCATTGGCTCGACCGGAGTGATACCACGGCCTCACAGAAAACTGACGAGAAACAATGCTAGCGTTGTGTTTCGTCCTCACCAATCTCCCCAATCCCTGAATTGCCAACAATCCTCTGCCCCGTCTGCACGTTTACCGGCTTATCCCATTAAAAACATGGAAGACACCAAAGACACCAAAAGCTATTACTGAACCTAATTACTTATTCGCATTTTAGTTCCACGCTAAAATACCCAAACAAAATACATGTATTAACTACTGCAGTTAAGCACCTGCCTAGTCAATTTCTTATTAATGCTATAGTATTAAGGATTCCCGAGGTCAATGCTTCATGAAATAAATGCTTTTAAAAACAATGTGCAACATCAACTGATAGGGACGTCCGTTCTAAGTTATTTTTACAATGATATTTTAATATGAATGATTTATAATGATGTTCTTTGTGTAATAGGTACTTTCTCTTCAAGTTTTGTATTGTTGTTATCATTTTTCTTGCTGTTCATGATGGGATCGAAAATATCTAAAATTACCCAGTTTCGATTACATTGAACTGGTCCGGTACACCAGTCTTCTTCTTTATCAGACTCTCCCTTCTTTTGTGTAAAACAATCTGTCCATCTTTAGGCCGTCCTTTATCTTTCTATCTCAATACTTACTCGTTTTATCTACATGATTTTTACTCTTTTATCACAAGTTCATACTAAGAAGTTCGACCATCTTTTGGCTTGTCTGTAACCGACGCATCTTTCAGATGTTCTCTAACCTACATAGGTTATAACACCCACTCTGACACCCATCTGGAACATTAGGGTACAATCTAGGATGGTGCTTTATTAATAGCTAGTAGACTGGCTCATTCTCAACTACCGACATGGGATTCTACAAAAACCTGGACAAAAGGGGGCGTTACATTTATTTAAATGTGTTGCTACCGTTTCGGGGAATCAAAGGCATGATGCTATATACATAAATATGTTTATGTATTCAAAGAAATATTCCTCACGGCCTTGCGGTTGTTTTTGTACAAATTGATAATAATTTGGTCGTCATTACAGCCAGTTGACTTTTGGCTCTGGTCATTGATAATGGTAGCTATAAAGTATCCATGAACTTAGTTGATGAGATCAAATATTTGTAATGTCTATATCTAGACCACCTTTTGAATGTCGTCAATTGTTGCTTACTTGCCGGCTGGTGATATGACTCAACTGATGGGCATTTTTGGATCGTAAAAGAATATTTTAGGTACAAAATAATTTCAACACTGTCTAGTTCATTAATTTGTAATTACTGGGTTAGCTGATGTCTTTTTGGGTTATCTAATGGTTGAATTTTTACGTTTTTTGTTGGGCAGGGAGTTATTGGTTGACAGTTTATGTAGGTAGATATTATTTAGAAACTGCCTCGTTGGCCCAGTGGTCGCAAGTGCGACTGCAAAGGGTTGGATTTCCGGGTCGGGCAAAGTATTGTTTTCTTTTAAATTCCCAGTTGTAGCACGGAGTCTAGAATTGTGCCCGATATATGGCAATAGGCCGACCCCCTATTACACGGGACTCATAACATAAAATAGTGAAAAGTGGGTGTTACATTCTACAGTGGCATAATGTGCACCTCTGCCTATCCTTTCGGGGATAAAAGACGTGATGATGTTTTGTTATGTTATAAAGTTATAATATTTAGAAAAAGTAGGTGAGTACCTACATCAAAATCAATAGAGGGATACTAAATATTGATAAAATCTTTTACAGGACCGCATAGGAAGACGAATCATAAAGGCCTACCGCGAGAACCCATCGAATGAGTCTCTGGAGTACGGCCGTGACGTCACGTTTAAAGAGTTCGCGCTGTTCCTCACGAACCGGTCTGAGGAGATGGCTGATGTCGTGAACAACGAACATTGGCAGCCCATCACGAACCTGTGCCATCCTTGCCTGATCAAATACACTTTAGTCGGTAAGTCACATTTTTATAATAACTAGCTTTTTGGTTGAGCTTTCATGGAATTTAGGACATTTCTTACGACAGGGTATTGATGACATTATTGTAATATTGGGATCGAATGTCGCTCCTAGAAAAGTAACCTCTAATCGCTCCGGTTATGAGATAATTATGGGTTAACGTTAAAATACAAGAACGCTGATAAATATCAAGACAAATTCGAAAAGAATCGCTCATTAGTAAATTAAATGTGGAAAAATCCAGTATACCAACCTAATTCGTTATTGAATTGAATGCAATATTAATAACTTTATAACGTATACCGCCAACACAGATATTCATCTACCATAGTGTCATTAACCTTTTAGGGTTCACGCCGTTGTGGTCCATAGACAGACCAGCGTTCCATAATAATTTTCTATTGTACTGTCCAAAGCCATGTCGATAGAAAAAAATTTTTAAACTGATAATCAAAGAACTTGAAATACAAATTGAATACGACTAATCATTAAAGTACCAGCGTTATAAAAACTGTGCCGAACAAAATTCGCCGTGGCTAGAGGTCGCCACAGTCTAAAATAGGTTTTTCATGGTTAACTATAATCATTTGTACTGTTATGATTGTAAGTACGATAGTGAAATTATACTACTATTGAAAACGGGAAAGTGTTATGGGGATTTCCGGATGCTTTTTATTTAACAAAATTGGCCTTACATCTGAATTAAAACCTATTATGAAACTACATAGTTTTTATTATAAGGCCACTGTCGGTAGGAAGTAGGAACTTGTAAATGTTTTATTAAACTTTGAAAAATGGAATTGGAAGTTGTATCAACCGAATCATCAACATAGGTACCTATGTACATCGTTGTACGTTTTTATGTAGTTCTAAAATTTTCGTGTCCTGTCGTCCGTGCAAAATTATAGTGTGGCATTGACACGGTAATGGTTTTCAGCTTTTTCGAAGGTAATCATCAAAACCCATGTGTACCAAATTGCAATATTGACTTCAGAGTTGCTAAATAATTTATAGAATTATCATATTTGTACAGCCGTTAAAATGAGTATTTAAAGTTAAGTAATTAAAATGCATAGGTGTTTATGAGCAGCAATCGAAACATGTAATAAAAGTGCATAGTAACCATAACATTAATTGCTACAGGGAGGCCAAGCAACACGTTTATTGGCCTTAATTTAAACTATTTGACACATACGTCATGGTCCTTTGATAGAACTGCTAGGCTCGACACGTTATTTTTGTGCTGGTCGTATAAGCCTTTTTAGAGAACAGAGTGTAAAGTTCCCTAAGATCGGAAAAAGAGGATCCTCCGACCAGGCGACGGTGATCGTGCCTGGCGGGCTTTCTGCCCGACAGTTGTTCGTTGGGATTTTCTATCCGTATTAATTCGCTTGTAAACTTTGCATGTGCGATGTAGGATTCTTGTGACGTCATCCGTTGACATGTGGCATGCATCACACCTTACCCGCAATTCGCATACAATCCGCGAAAATACAATGCACGAACATGAATTTACCCCACCACGAAAATTCTCCCCATGGTTTGTCCCAGGGAATCTACCACTAACAACAGCTTTATAATAAAATGATATTGAACGTATTCAACAATGCATATAGTACTACCGCGATCTAGTGAAATTCGAAGATACAGATAATTGTGCTGATAGAGTTAATACATTTATCTAAGTGTATATTGATATCAAATTACCTATTGTACCCGGATATGCACTATGATTTAAATGTGTTTCGAAGTCATCTTTGTATTAACATTTTGTTTGCCACAAACAACTAGAGTACGGAGCGGTATTAACTACTTATATCATTCTTCTATGCTTTACTTTGGGCACAATTAACATTAAGCTCAAATATTCAAATGTGTGAAACTACAATTAGGTAGTTTTTAACCGACTTTAGAAATAATAAAAAGGAGATTCAGAGTTTAAACTGAATGTGTGTGCGCGACTATCTCGCGGTTCGCTGAACCGATTTTGATCCGGTATCCAGAAAAGTGTTTGTTACACTTTGGAGAAGGTTTTAGTATATCAATTGACCTAGGTACTTCAAAAAAAGAGGGGGTTGATGTCGGATTTTTTAAACGCAGTTTATAATTATAAACGAATAATTTGTGTGGATATAATCTTGTTATCTTGATTTTAATTTAGTCTAATTAGTTTGGTCTCTAGCAGGATAATTATATTACCTACGTGTATATCAGTGATAATATAGTTGCTACGCTCCGCTATTCTTCGTTAATAGTTTTAAACTCTGACCAAAAAGTATATCATACCAACAGCCTATAAATGCCCACTGCTGAGCAAAGCCTCTTCTCACACGGAGAAGGTTTGAGCCTCAAACCTTCTCTCTCAAACTTTGAGCATTAATCACCACGCTTGCTCAATGCGGGTTGGCGATTACAAACTTATAATTAGAAGTTATATGCCCAGGTTTCCTCACGATTTTTTCCTTCACCGTTTGTCAGTGGTGTCTGAATAATCTTAGAAAGTACATATAACTCGGAAAAGTCACATTGGTACTTGCAGTTGGTAGGTTTCGAACCCGCACCCTCATGCATGAGAAGCGGGCGTCTTAAACCTCCGGGCCACCACGAAAGTATATAAAAGATATAAATTGCAAATTCCCAGACATAACATAAATTGACCGTGCCCTATCCAATTGTTGACTAACCTATTGACAAAATACTCATTATGCGTCACTAACTAAATTAGAATCAATTGAAGTTGAAACGTACGACTACAATGAATCAACGAACAACACATTAACAAAATTGATTTAGATGGACGGAACATCATGATTCCTATTTTTCCTATCTTGTGGTCATTATAATCATAAGGATAGAGATTAGAGACAAAAGGACTTATATCCAGATACTATACATTACCGTATAAGTATCAAGACAACTATGTCTTGCTTGATTTGGAAACTTAAAGGTGTGGGGCAATTCAATACAAAGTTGTATTAGTACTAGAGAGAATGTCACTTAATCGAAAGCTTTTCACCATAACATAACATAATATCACGCCTTTTATTCCCGAAGGCGTAGGCAGAGGTACTTACGGCTACTTACGGCACTTTAATGGTGATGAACACAAGTTGTTTACCATTCAAAGAAATACGTCCACTGTTGAACAAAAGTACTTTTTTTGCCCTTTTTTGGTCTATTTTTTAAAAGATTTTTGCCATAAACTCTGTAGTTGGCAGGCGGCTTTGGGCTTGTACTTAAACTGTCAAACACCAAGCGGTCACCGGTGACCGCAACCTATTGTTCTTTAATTGTGTCTATAATGACGGTACTCAACGAGTTAATTAGGTCACTGAGATTAAGCCAATGATCACCGATTACTGGTTGCAATTTTAAAACTTATTCCACGTGGATAGTTATTTAGTAACTAGTAATGATGCTTAAATGAAATAATAATAGTAGTAATGATACTGAACAACTTCGTTTGTCCACTTGGCTCGTACCTAAAGTAATTAAGGCTACTAGGCTGGACATCGGACAGATCAATCACAATCAAGCAGTTGTTAAAACTGTGTCGTCCTATGTCAGTTGGCAGTGGATCGCGTCAGAGATCAAATCGTGTGATTGCGTACGAGTGCGTCATTCCGAGTATTCCGACCAAGAAAGATCGGTAGAATGTCTTCAATTAAAGCTTTAACAAAAGGCAAATAGAGTTAATATTTCTTACAATTGTCAATAAACCAAAGTTATATAACACTTCTTCCCAATATAGTGTAACTAGGCTTATTCTAAAGTTACTAAGGGCCATGCTTCGGCACGAATGTGCCGGTTCGGCCGTAATGACACCACGGCCGGCCGTGGTGTCATTACGGCCGTGAGCCGTGAGGCCGCGGCCTCACAGAATACCGAAGTATCGCAACGCTTGCGTTGTGTTTCGTCGTGTGAGTTCCCATCCCCAATCTCCCCAATCCCTGAATCCCCAACGATCCTCAAACTCCTAATCCCCACAAGGCCGGTAACGTGACGCCGATTACTTACCATCAGGTGATCCGTCTGCTCGTTTACCGGCTTATCCCATAAAAAAACCAACCAACTCTCTCTAATCTCATCAATTTTTTTTTTCTTTAATCCGTGGTCGTTCGATTTATATCTTCAATGGCTAACAAAAAAAAAAACGTTCATAGTTTGCGGTTTGTGGTGTATAAGTAACATAATCTTGCTAGACTGTCTGAGGATGCCGGATTGACGTGCGTGCGAAACGGATGTCGGCGACCTCAGAAGTGGGCTCCACGTGTGCCGACTGATGAATTATACAACTATATTTATTTTTGTTCCGTGTTGACTATGATTATATACTAGTTTTATAAACAAGAAACCCTTAAATATATTATGACTATTTTGACCTACATTTCATTTAAATGTTTGAGAAAAGCTTATAAAACAGTAACTCGTTTGTAACCCTGTGTCAGAGAGATTGAGATTCTACGGAATCAGTAGATATTTTTATAATGTCGCGGGGTGGCCCATTACAACTGAAGTAGGTAAATGAGTCCATAACCCATAAAACGGCTTAATCGTTCTCCTATATTTCCTAAATATTACAGTTCCATTTTAAGCTTGTAGATATAAGTATTATAATTGTGATATTACTCAGTTGGTCTCAGTTGTCTTAAAAAAAGTAACATCGACAACCATTAAACCAGTTACTAAATGTATTTGCAAAACAACTGACCAAGTATGAACCATTATTTAAAACCTCTAATACAGTTTTTTGCTCGTATATTGCAAATCGCTTGAATTAATCAATCCTTTGAACCGGCTCTTTACGGTTGTAAAACGTTATTTCAATGATACATAATTGTTGCGTCGACTTGCTTGCGTCTGTTAGATTGCCTTTGAGTTTTATGTTCAAAGTATTTTAGGATAGAAGCCAGGTGATCTGTGACCTATTTACAGTGTAGACCAGTCTAGATTAATCTAATTTACTACCTTAATGGATTAGGTTAGGTTAGATTA